TTTACTCTTGGTGAGGCAGCTGTATCTTGAAAATCTTCTAAACAGACTTGCATTGCTAGGTCTACTATGGAATCAAAATTCATAGCTTTAGATAAAGCTGAGGAAGAAGCAGAATGGCTTTGCTACTTCCTTGAAGATATTTCAATGTGGCCAAAACCGGTGTCTGCTATATGCATACATTACGATAGTCAATCAGCAATAGGTAGAGCACAGAGTCATATGTATAACGGTAAGTCAGTATGTCTTTACTCTTGGTGAGGCAGCTGTATCTTGAAAATCTTCTAAACAGACTTGCATTGCTAGGTCTACTATGGAATCAAAATTCATAGCTTTAGATAAAGCTAAGGAAGAAGCAGAATGGCTTTGCTACTTCCTTGAAGATATTTCAATGTGGCCAAAACCGGTGCCTGCTATATGCATACATTACGATAGTCAATCAGCAATAGGTAGAGCACAGAGTCATATGTATAACGGTAAGTCACGACACATTCGTCATCGACATAATACCGTGAGACAACTACTCTCTAATAGAAGTATTTCCATTGAATATGTGAAGTCTAAAGACAACATAACAGATCCACTAACCAAAGGGTTAGGAAGAGAGTTAGTTGAAAATTCATCGAGGGGAATGGAACTAAAGCCTATTAAATAAGAGTTACCACAACGGCAACCCAACCTAGTTGACTGGAGATTCGAAGATCTAGGTTCAAAGGGATAACCGAGTTGTGTATAACTTAGAAGGTTCACTGGGGAGTCCAACTCCTATCCATTTCTAGGATGAAATAGTGATGTCTGCAGCGTTTTAGGTTAAGTAAAATTTTAATGATTCTTATATCTAGGTAAACCTAGTGGAGTATGGCAGGATACTCTTCATAAGAATCACCTATGTGAGTGTGAACTGGGCTGGTTCTATGAGATTTGTGAAGGGCTACAATTTTCTAAAGCACTCATAAAAGACCAGGTTGTTCAAGGCCAAAATAAACACAATAGTGAGAACTAAACTGTGTCTAGGGATATACTGTGTGAGTTCTATTGTCTTGGCTTACAGAAACGGCTGAACAGTTCAAGACATCATGTTCACTGGTTAGCTATTAAATCCGATAATGTCTCACAAGGGAAGATTCAAAGCCAAAAGCTACCTATCATTTGCAGAATATTTCTAATTTCTGTACTTTCTGTAATTAGATCATGTTGTTGCATTTTCTCTCTGTCAAATTCTATTCATGTAGGCGATTGTTGGAAATTTTGGTTTATGAGGCTTATTTTGGGCCAACTTTGAACCCAAAATAGAGTGGGCCCCAAACGTCTTTTGGGGTGGGTCCGAAGAGGTGACGTATTCCTTACCGCATGGCAAGTCACACAGTTTGTCAAAACCATTTTTGAGTGAATGAGAAGTTGACTTTGTTTTCAGGTTCATGGAATGAATAGTTAAAGAAATAAATGCGGGTTTCTTTGAAATAGGTTGTCCCACATTGAAACTTTAAGAGAGCTTGTGTATGTATATAAGCTCTAAACTACAACACTTGGGTTGGGCCCCAAGGGGCACTCTAAGTTTGTAGAAGGAAGGAGTTATGAACAAAGTGAACCCTAACCCAAACCACCGCACACGCTCGCGCGCCGTCCGGCCGACCGAGCCCAGCCGTGCTGGGCGCGGGTGTGAGGCATGGGTCGGGTCGGTTCTTATATTAATTTTTTGGACAAAATTTATTTTAATTTTTAATGAAATAAAATTCAAAATTTTGTGCCAAAAATTAAATTTATTTTCTGTCCATTTCCAGTCCGAAATTCAAACAGATTAAACAATTCAAAACTGTTTGAAACCCAGACAGATTCAGTTCTAGCCAGACAGATTTAAATCTGTCCAGCAGTTACCAACAAATAGAAACTGCTGGGCAGTTATCTGTTGCACCTGTCCAATTTGAAATGGCATCTGTTCACTTCAAATTTTGTACTTGTTCGGGTCTTTATAATTCCAGATCTGTTCCAGCATTTGGCAATCCGAAAATCAGTCTCAAAAATTCCTTTTGTTGTCCAACTTTGCTCTTTTGGTATATTATTCTTCATTCTAGTTTTAGAGAAAATTAAAGAGAGTATAGAACACAAGGTTCTAGTTCACCGAAAAAATTTGTTTAGAGTGCTACTAAAAATTTGTGAAGATCATTGTATCCTGGGAGATAGACGCCACTTAACCGTAAGCACCGTAGCGGGGCGAATCTATCTTAAGGACAAAGTGTCACACACTCGACTTGGTCTTTTATTTTTCACTCGGTTTGATAAAATAAATTCTGTAAGTTATTTATTTTATTTTGTTTGATTTAGTTTCATTTTATTTTATTTACACAGAAGATTGTTCCAACACATTAATAATGAATCATTATTCTTTTGGGACCAAATTTTTTGTCTCAAAAAATAAACCATTTTGTGACCAAATTATTTTGTCCCGAAAAGTCTATTTATTAGTGACATTTTTAAAATTTTGTCACTAAAAACCTTAATTTTTACTTTTCAAGACGACCTTTTAACGACTATCCTTGTAATGATGAAAATTGGTCCCTAAATATTTTTTGTAACAAAATTTTCACTTTTAGAAACCAAAACATTTCTCTAAAACCCTTATATGTTATAGTGTGTACAGGGTTTCATTTTTATAATTCAAATTATTCATTTTATAGGGCACTTTCGTATATATCAATCATGAAATAAATTAAGTGAATTTGATAATCGTTACTTTTTAATTTTATCACATTTGTCTACAAAAAAATGAACGGTTTATTTTAAAAAATATATTTGTCATTTATTCTTTTCGGAGACAAATGCGATTAAATGAAAATTTTACGATTATCGAATCATTTTTTTTTAATTTTCATAAATAATATATACAAAAAGTCTTTTAAAATAAACGATTCAGATTATTGAAACGGAACTCATGGTGATTTGAGATTATTAAAGATTTGAACTTGAAGTTCGGATTTGAGAGAAGATTAAATTCAACCCTATGGCCCCGTTTGTTTTCAGAGATAGAATAGAGGGGATTTATAGTGAGGGGATTAATAGTAAGGGGATTGTTAGTGAAGAGATTGATAGTGAGGGGATTAATAGTGAGGAATTATTAAATTTTTTTTATATAAAATGATAAAACAAATAAAAAAAATATAAAAAATTAAACATTATGTTTAAAAAAAATTCCCAATATATAAAAAATAAAAAAATTTCTAATCCCCTCATTATTTTTCTAATACCATCTCTATCTCCTCCTTACCAATCTCCCTTCCTCCTCCTTAATAGTGAGGGGATTAATAGTGAGGAATTGTTAAATTATTTTTATATAAAATAATAAAACAAATAAAAAATATAAAAAATTAAACATTATGTTTAAAAAAAATTCCCAATATATAAAAAATAAAAAAAATAAAAAAAATTTCTAATCCCCTCATTATTTTTCTAATACTATCTCTACATCCTCCTTACCAATCTCTCTTCCTCCTCCTTACTAATACCAAAGGATTACTAATCCTCTCCCTATCTCTCAAAACAAACACCCTATTCTCAATCTCCTCCTCACTACCTAACCCAATCCCCTTCCTATAATTCTAAACAAACGGGCCTATATATATATATATATACGAATGACCACCATAGAAAACTTGGAAATATGAGGATGCAGGTTTACAACTTTAAACATAAGGATACAGACCCATCAGCAGTAAGCTCTGATCTTCCACAGGAATCCTATGTTTTGTCTTCAAAATTAAAATAGCTAATTGCAGAGCTGTTCTTTTCTTTCCATTTTCCTTATATTTTTTTCCTTTTGAGTACATTGAGAGTTGTGAAGGGCAAAGACGACAGATTTCTCCCCAAAAAGAAAAAAGCAATAATGTCTGCCACAGTTGCTACACTTCTATCGATTATTGTTGATTCACTTTCACACTATGCTATGCTAAAGTACCCAATGGATAAGAAGGAAAAAAATTCAAATTAATGGCACTGTTAAAAAAAATAAAGTGTATTTTTATGGACTGTAATGATTTTTTGCGTTTGGTATAAGTTTTTTGTTTTTTTTCTTTTAAATACAATTTCCCAATAAAAAATACAGTTATTTAGCAAGGCTATTGTCTCTAATTACCTTTGCCAACTGTATTGTTGAATTTTTTTAATTTTTAGATTGGTGTATTGAACTTTGGTAGTTGTATTGTATCACAAAACTGATGATTCGAACAACTTATCTTTTAAATTTTTAGTGAAAAAAAAATTAAGTTATATTTACATAATCAAATTATATTTATTAAAAATATATAATTTAAGAAAAAAAGATATATAAATGAAAAAATTCATACAAATTTTTTATATATATATAAAATGATGTGATTTAATATAAATCTTTTACTTTATAGTAAAAAAAAATCTATTAAGCAAGTTATTATTTACAAAAGAGCCATTACTGCTTTATTGTTTTGGTGTTTTATGTATAAATTTTCTATAAGAATAGAAATTTTCTTATGCAAAAAAAATTATTTTTTAAAAAATAAATATAATATAAACTATATGTGTACCAATTGTCTAACTAATCTAATTTTTTATATAAAAAATGTGTTCAACACACCTTATAAAATAAACAATTTACATTAACAACACACTTCAATTAATCCCTCCTTCGATCTGGTCAAAGACCAGCTATCCATGACAAGACTAGAGAAATTACTTTCTCATGGCTTCAACTAATCCCTTCTCCGATTTGATCAAAAACCGGGCCATCCATAACAACACTAGAGAAATTACTTTCTGGCGGCTTGATTCCAAGAATCGAACCTTGAGTAATTGCATAGGAAACACACCCACCAACCAGTTAAATTGGCAAGCTAACTAGAGAAAATCTAAACTCATTTACCAAATTCTATTTTTTTTTTAAATTTATTTCTCAAATACAAATTAAAACAAGTTTCTTAAATTCACGTCAATTTAAACTTCTTCAGTTATTTTGTGAGTCTTTGGAATTAAAAAAAGCTCCTAAACATCATATGCCTCATTATTTATTTTTTAATCCATCAATACCATACACTACACTACTTATTGTCACCAAAGCTACAAACTAACAAAGTCCAAGCTAGCTAACCACAATAAGAGAGTACCCATCATAATTATGAACCATAAAACCATACTAATAATAAGTTTTCGTGAAACACACTCACTCACTCATTACAAGCACAAACAAAGACTGAATGTAATGTTTTTGCAGAGTCTAATCTTAAAGAGATCAATGGCATTTGGTGGCAGGTTCAAAGGCAAAAGGCCCAACACTGAAGAGCTCATAGGGAAGTGAAGGGTTAGATGGCTTCTTCTCAGACCTCTTCAAGGTGGCACCAACTTTACCATCATGGAGGTTAGATGGGTTGCTGCATTGAGCCTGTGGAGAAGAGACTAAGAAGACCTTGCACTTGTGAGCACCATAGTTGGTGATCTTCTTTGGTCCCTCTATGAAGAAGTAACCATTCTTGTCCGTCTTCCCTTCCTGGGTTATTGGGTACTTTGTGTTGTTGCATTCTAGTTTCACAATGGCACCTACAATGGTTCATTTATGCCCAAAACATTAGTGAATGCTCTGCCAAACTAAGGCAAAAACTAGTTCAAAAGGAAAATAATTGGGAAAATTATCAAAAAAAAAAAAAAAAAAAAAAAAATTATAAAAAAAAAAAAAAAAAAACCTCAAGGCTTATAAAAAAATAAATCTCAATTTTTTAGCCATTACACTCAATGTAGATGTATATATAAAATGTCTAAAATATATTTTTTTCGTTGAATTTAATAACTAAAATAAGTATTTTTTTATCGATTTTACCTAACAACAATAGATAAATGATTTAAATTGAAAATAAATCAAAAAAAATATAGTTTAAATTGAAAAAATTAAAAATTAAAAATTTATTTTGTTACCAAAGTCAAAGTTGGGATATTTTTTTTATATAATTTTCCCAAAATAACTTGTAAACAAGTTTTTTGTACCCAAAAAGAAAAACTCAATACGAATGATGGGTCCATGATAGTTTCAAAATAATATATCACTTTTATAAATCTTTTAATTTTAAATGAATGAATATAATTTAACATTAAAAAAAAAACTATGTATAACTTTTCCACTTTTATACCGTTACTCAATTCAAAATTATGTGCATGTGTGTGCCTATCTTGAGTGTTCACCACATGACCGAATAAATGCAATTTATTGGTTGCATGTCGTAAAAAGTAAGATCATAATTGAATGTTGCTAAATACTTAGGTCTCGTACACGTCAAATAATGACACATAATGACACATGACATATACCTTATATAAAATATATAACAGTTTCTTCTATCTTGACATACTGAATTTATGTACCAAAATTTATACTCAATTTCGTAAAAATACATTAAGATAGAGGAACATTAAACCATTAAATGATTCAATGGTTAATGAGATGTGACTAGAGATTCTCTATCCCAAGGCACATGTATTACCGAAATAGTTTATCAAAACTCTTCATCACCACTTTTCACTTTTTACCGGATTCTTGTATAACATAGTAAGGGCTAGCTTGGCATGTATTAAAAAAGTTAAAAAGTCATTATCTTATTTAAGTCACATCATCTTATTTAAATCACATCACTTCTCTAACACATCACATCAAACCCAATCCAAATTCAACCCAAACCCACCAATAAGTCAAAAAGTACACTTTTTTAAGACATCCCAAACCAACCAGTTTCACTCTATATATTAAATACAATAAATCATACCTCTATGTACATAAAATTAAAATAATTCGATGATAGATAACATTTATTTATTTTTAATTTTACGTATTTTGAAATTCTCACAACTTTTTTTTTTTTTTAACTGAACTGAAATTCTCACAACTTCACACAGCTAAAAATGTATTAACACAAAAAGAACATGCTATCAAATGTTAACAGGAGAAATCTGGCTATGTTTGATTTGGTTTTTAAAAATTTGTTTCAGAAATTTTTTTTAAAAAAATAGAAATTAATTTCATAAAAAAAAAGAGAAAGAATTATCATTTTTATATAATTTTATCTTTATGGAAGTCAGAAATAATTGTTAAAACCATAAAATTATATTTTAATATTTATTTTTATCAAAACTAATTTCCATTTTTTCAGAAACATTTTTGAAATTTTTTTTTCTAAATATTATTGTACCCTCATTTTTTGTAAAATCAAATCTCAATTAAAAAAAAAAAAATCACTCTAGAGAATCTAGATTAACTCAACTTACAAGACTACATTCATGCATTCACAAGTTACTATATGGGCATCGATAAAACTGTAGTCACAAACATTTTTATGCCTTTTATAAATAAAAAAAAATTATATTCAAATAAATTTATTTTTCCTTTATCACCAAAAATATTTTCCATTTACTTCTATTTTTTATTAGATCAAACACTACAAAATGTCAAATATATATACTATAATGTTTTCTGCTCAAACAACAGATCGTAAATAAAAAGTAACGAGCTAACTCTTATTTTGCAATATTTCAAACACGACAAAATGTCAAATAAATGCATATATAATGTTTTCTACTTAAACAAACAGATCGAAAATACAAAGAGAGGAAGTGATGAACTAACCAAGAAGTGGGGTAGCTTCCAAAAGGGTATCAACCCCAGTGTACTTGCAGGGCTTGCAAAAAACAACCCCTTGAACAGCAACAAGACACCTCTTTGGGAGATAAGTGGGTGGGTGACGGTATGGGTGACTCGGAGGGTGAACCGGTGGAGGAAGGTGGGTGTTGTGGTGGTGGTGAGGGTGAGGACTGGGACTGGGTGGGTGGGTCTTGTGGTATTTGGGTGATTCAGTTGGTGGGTAGGTTGGAGCATGGTGGTGTGGTGGCTGTGCCCGGCTCACCAAATCAACCACATCACCATACACAGCGCTCAGTAGAAGCACTGATGAGAGCTGTATGAGGACAAGAGCTTTGACTGGCACAAAACCCATATTTCTAGAGAGAGAAAGGGTGAGAGAGGTGGTGAAGTGGGCATTCACAAGAATTGAATTTATAGCGGTTTGGAGCATTATATTCTGCGGTATTTGTTGCGTTCTAATGTTAAAAATACAGACACCAAATACAGATGTCACATTATGAATGGGTCCACATGTGGATCCCAATTTTTATGTCCCATTTTATATTTAGCTTCTGAATATTTATAATCTGTTTGAATTCTTTAAATCGTGAGATGGGAAAATAAAGAAAATAAAAAAGAAAGGACGGAGCTGTTAACAAAGTGATTCATGTAATTATCTTTTAGAACCGTAAAAAAGTCAGAAGTTTAAAATTCAAATCGATAGAGTTTTTTTTGTTATAATTTAACTTTCAAATCTCATAACATCCTACAGTATAACAAATAAAATAAAATAAATTATTATGATATCTCATATTTTTATTTAAATGGAAAATAATTAAAAGATGATACATACGTCTTTTTTACTTTGTATTGAAAATGTTAGTTTATATATTATAATTTTTTTTATAAAGAATAATTTTGGTGAGAATCAAAATTTTGAGTTTGGGATAATTTTTTTTCTTTTTTCACCATTATTCATCTCATTAACCATTCAGATAAGTGATGTGAAATCATTCAACTAATTTTTTTTCCTTTTCTCCCCAATCTAAACAGGGTGTTATACTTGTTTATTGAGAGAGAGAGAGATAGGAGACTGTTTAAAAATAAATAAATAAAGTGAAATTAAAAAAAAGGTTTTCACGTGGAATAGTGTGTCTTAATTTGGGCATTTCATTTTATAACAATGACTATTGTTAAGGTGTGTAATAAATGCTATTTAATGAATTTCACCGATAAAATTTAATCAATAACATTGCAGTGACAATATATGCCATTAGCCTCTGTTTGGCAAGATGATTTTCAGGTTTTTTTGGTTATTTTAGTCACAAAAAATAAAATAGACTATTTTAGCCATAACAAACAAAACATCACATCCAACCTATAATCATTACATTCTTCTCTCACAAAAAAAGTCAAAAAAATCAAAAAGCCAAAAAGCCCTTCCCAAACTAAGCTTTTTAGCCCAGGCTAAAATAGCCAAAAAAGCCGAAAAGCTAAAAAGCCAACCTACTTCCCAAACCAAGCCTAAAACTAGTTAACAATACTTTTTAAATGAAACTTTCCATCTAACCTAATAAAAAGAAAAACAAAAAAAAAACAAAAATTAACTCTCGATTTTATAATATTGTTTATCATTCTTATCTTTAACCGCTTTTTGTGTTGACCTAATTTTTATAAATTATTTAAAATATTTATTTTTAGGTCTGGTTAATGAGTGATTATTAAAAACTCCTAGGATATGACCACCTGATACTCTATAGTAGGAGTGAATAACGGATATTCTAATTTGTCCAAACCGAACCGATCTGTTGCATTTTGCACGGATTGGTGATGACAAACGAATAATTGCAAATTAATTTTTTTCTATCCGTTTAGTATTGGACAGATGATGGATTAGAGGTTCCTTTGGCTGTAAGCGAACCACCAAACTGCGAGCACCCCTAGTAAGTTGTAAGACTTTGTGTTTTCAATTTATTTAGATATTCTATTTATATTTTCAATTGAAAAAGAGTTTAGATATTCTGTTGTGTTTTCAATTTGGAAATCCTTTTATCAAATGGCAAAGGTTGATATTTGTTATTTTTTTTGTGGAAAATATAAGGCTTAATTTTGTCATTTTTTTAAAAATCAAATTAAATAGTTTTTGAATAAAAAAAATAATGAAATAGTTTTGATAATATATAGTTTTCTTATATGTATTTATTATTGGTATTTAACAATTTATTTGATAATCTTTTAGTTACGTTGAGTTAGATTGTTATCCAAAAAAAATGTTGACAAATTGTTGTATTATGTTTAAAATTTAAAAAAGTTTAAACCGCCAAACCGATTTGTATCCATCCGCCAATCCGCTCAATCCGCATCCGTCAATTCGGCGGATGGATGCGGATATCCAGCGGACGGATGACGAATTAAAAGTTTCCCGGCAGCAATCGAACCGCGAACACCCCTACTCCATAGTATTATGATTGATAGAGAATGTGGGGTATTATGATTTTGTCAGGTGATTGATGAATATGAAGGGGTATGGTGTCTGATGATTAGTAAAAGAGTATAAATACATGACGCTCCAAGAATATTGAATATTTATTCGTGTCATAAGGCATTTATTAAGAATAGAGATTTATTTATAAATTCCATTTGGAGGACTTATAGCCCAATAAGTTCATAAAGTTTTCTTGTGTTCCACCTAATCTCATATATTTAGACTTGTATCCTAAGCGATCCTTTTTTTTTTCTTATAATATTTTTGGGACTAATACACCATTTGTTCTGTACGAGTATAGAATAATCTTCTCATATAATTCTGTTAATCAAGTTTACACTCCTCCAAACATCGTCGCTTTGCTACCTAAAAACACAAACGTGAGCTAACCGGCGGGTGTGTGCTGGGAACCTCTCCGATACCTAAGTCAGCAAATAGACAATAGACACAAAAGTTCTGTATATTTAAGAATAAGAATTACAATAACTATCCATAGGTTTTGTCATGAGCTTTTATAGAATCTGCTTGGCACAATCCTAGTAAGACTCTCACCCTCCCTAGCAGAGTCTTCCTAGGAATCACATTCCTAAGGATAATGCCTATCTTAATAACACTATACTCACTGCCAACCAAGTGAAATAGTTCCAACATTCTTACATCGGCTGGTACGAATCAACTAAGCTAACACGGTTCCGTATTGTTCTGGCAGTATCGAGATAGCCCTTACTGTAGGACGGCGCCTTACTGAGCTATACTTAGCATGGCCATTTTTCCTACTAATATCTCGGTCCGTTACAAGGCTTAGCTTTAAATAGCTAGGTCAGGGCCCTAGCGACATCTCTCATAGCTCGGTACCTAGATGGCCCATAATTGGGCTATTTACACTCACAACTTGGCCCATAGCTCGGCCTAATGCCTAAAAGAAAAATAGATTTAACTCGGCCCAATTAATTCACATAAATTACCCTCTCAATTGCCCTTTAATTTCATTTGCCAGCATGTTTGGGATTATCCAGTCTCAACTGAGCTGTCAAAGTCCATGCCAACCAAACCCCAAACCACTCAACCTAACCAAGCTCAAATTTCGCTTGGTTTCCAAAAATTACGCCAGTCGTACAACCCATCTTTTCACGCTTCTGACATCGTGTCCTTACTGGGACACGTAGCACGCGTTAATTGTCCTCACCCACTGTGACAGCCGTCACACGCTGCCAAATATTTCAAAAAGTCCCGTCATTTCGCTTCCATGTCACATAAAACTCGTATTTTTTTGAACAGTCACCTTCACTGTTCATCTTCTCTCTTGCAAACCCTCGCACTCGGAGCTCTATGTCCTCACCTCCTACGCTCAAGTCCCAATCCAGACATCTAAATCGCCTGTCTCGCTCATCTTAGTTGCAGATGCTCCTTTTGTCGATTGGATTCTGATTTCACATCCTAAATCCGTAAGTTCCTCATGCCTTTTTCTCTTCTCCACCAACATACTTCTATTTATTTCTAAAGAATAGCATTTTAACACCATATATGTGTGTTATATACACTAAAGACTGAACCAATATCAAAAACCTCAAAACTCCACGCTTAAACCTGGAAACACATTAATTGGAACTTCAACCAGTCTAGAATAGTGTTTTTTATCCAAAATCGTATTGCGACCGAAATAAGAACCTGTTTGCAACCTTAGGCTTGCTTTTGACCGGACTAGAAATCCCTTGCCCAATAACCGGGCTATAATCATACCGTTCTCCTAAACTCTGCCCCTTCTCCTAAACCGAACTAAAATGACCTCGGTTTAAGACCAGTCTAAAACCTTGAGCTGGTTTTGGAACCAAGCCAAAAAATCCTAATTGTTCCATAGCTGAACTAAGCATGGCACTTGTCCCCCCACTGCCAAGCTAGGCTCGATTAGTATTGACTATTACTTAGCCTGGTTTATCACTTAGGCATAAAACCTTTTTATTTACACTTTGCGGACTTGACTAGGTTGGCCAAACACAGCTTGCACTTTGCCCCTGGGCGCCTTTGCTCAACCGAGCCAACCAAAGTCCACATCAGCGCCGTGCTAGGCTACCGTGTAAACTTTATTTAACATAGTAAATTTAAGATAATGGGCAAATACCGATTTCTGGTGAACTTGCCTAGTGCCATGGCCGAATTCTGAAGGGATTACCACATTTTAGACGACGCCCACCTTTCCTTGGCCGAGCTAGACACCACGCCATGAAACAAGCCCGATTTTGTTCATTTCTCTATGGTGTCCATCGTTGAAAGGGGACTGTGGTTCCCAGTCCAACCACTCATTTGCGAGTTCTTTAGGCAAACCAGACTATGCCCTACCCAATTATCCACCAACACTTATAGGATTATCAACGGAATGGCCCAGCTAAATCGCCACTTCGGTCTCAACCTTAGATTAGCAAAACTATTTCATCAGTACTCGTTTGGCCAAAATGATGGCAGTTGGGTCTACCACCCTAGAATAAGAAAGGGCTGAGAGAAAATTGTCAAGGGTACACCAGAAAAAGACTTAAACGATGATGATTTTCTCTAGGTGTCGAGAAATTTTGAAGACCAGGAAGCCCAAATATCGGGCTACAATATTAACTGGAACAAAGGAACAACTGATAAGGTTAATCTGGTTTTAATCTTCTTTGCTACCTTAACACCTGCCGCGCTAACCCTTGTGAGTTTGTCCTTTTTTGTAGATTTGAACCAGCTTAAAACAAATTACGCCTATGCAAATCAAGCCGCGCTACGAGCCGTAATCCGCTATCGACATCGAGATTGGGCCGAACTGCTTGACATTCAGCTGACCTACCGATATAGTGGTAGAAGAAAGACCAAAGTAACCGACTTCCTTTTAAAGTCCTCCTTAGAGCCAGACCCCAACCTTCCCCCAAATCAACCTAATCCCACTAATCGAAGAACAAGAGATAGC